CACACACACACACACACACACACACACACACACACACACACACACACCACTACAACCCGCCCCCCTCAACTCAGCATCCAGCCTTCTCTCTGTCCAGCTCTTAAACCCTCTGTTCCTTGGACACTCCTCCCTGGCCTGACACACACCCCAAGTGCTCTCCTCACCCCTGGCCAACTTCCACAAACTCCAGAAAGGGAACCCCTCTCCCTGCCACTGCAGCCCGGTCCTCCTCCATCTACGGGTCACCCAGCTCAAGGACCCGGTGAGGCCCTCCCCATTCCCCTCATTTCCTCTCCCTGCTTCATCTTCTCTTGCAGATTTGACTTCTTGAAGATTTCTGTTTAGAAACTGAACTACATCTTGGCGCAGTTTAGACGATACACCACACTTGGAGATAAAGCCAAATTCCTTTGTCAGGTACACAGGGCACACGACTTGAGGCTTGCCCGTCTTTCCAGCATCAGCTCTTGACGCTGCCGCCTGCCAACACGGGTGCGTGTGTGTTTGCACACAGGCACGCCTGTGCCCACACACAGCATTTGCCATATTTCAACCCCGTGCTCTGCTCACATGGTGTCCCCTCTGTCTGGATCGTCCTTCCCCTCCTCTGTGAATCGCCTACCCCAGTTCATCTTTTAAGACACCTTAGGTGCCGCCTCCTCCAAGAAACCTCCCCTCATTCCTGCTGCCATTGCCACCTCCTTGTGTTCTATGCCTGTGACACAGAGATGGCTGCCTTCTCTTCTCCCATGGTAATAGAATTTTTTGCTGGGTAAATGGTCAAGAGGAAAACTACATTTCCCAGCCTCCATTGCAGCTCAATGGGGTCATATGTCTAGGTTCTGGCCAATGGAATGTAAGCAAAAGTGGCACGTGGCAGCCTTCAGGGACCTTTTCCGAGAGAGATGAGATGTGCCCTTTGCCTCTTCTTCATCTCTTCCTCCATCTTGCCACCTGGAACAGCGGGTGCCACCATCTTGGATGATGAGATGAAGGCCACAGGCCAGGAATGGAAGGAACCTGATTCTTGAGGCTTTCATGGAACAGAGCTGTCAACGTTAGCCATGGACAGAAAATCCAGGGAGAAAAAGCAACTTTTAACTTGTTTAGGTAACTTTTGCTGTGGGTTTTGTGTCACTCCAAATTGCATCTTTCCATGGTGCCCTCTTTTTAAACTGCAGGTATATTGAGAACATCATAATGTGATACAGTCACTTTTCATGGGTCTGCCCCTAGACTGAGGCCAGGAGGTGTATCTAACTCAACACTGTATCCCTCCAGCCAGGAGCATTGTAGGCACTCCATAGTGAATGGATAAACAAATGGTTGCTTGATGAGTAGATAGGAAGATTTGGAATGAAAGACTTACCTGGGGAAGATAAGTGTTAAAAACAGTGCGCTTACTCAGATCTGCACACTGGCCTTCCTTTCTAGCCTGTGTTGTTACGATGGCTGTTTCTGGTCCCTCCTGTCACTGACAGCATGACTGGATCTTATCATCTGCCAAGGGACTTCCCACACAGGCACACCAACCAGCTCATCCCCCCAGGCCTGTGAGGCGGAAGATGATATAGGTGGGTGGGCATGTGGGCAGATGCCCACACTGCTGTCTTGGGACTTGGTGTCTTCCTTTCTAGAGGGCCAGGTGGCACAGTCTAGAAATACAGGAGAATTGACTCTGCACAGGTGAACTTTGACCAATGAGAGACGGAAGCCAGAGGACAAATTCTTCTCTCTGCCTCCTCTGGACTGGTGGGGGCCAGTCGCCTCATACAGCGCTCCGAGGACGTCTCCCAAGACAGCAGCAGCCACCTCATGATGCCCTCCCTTAGTATTTGTTTCCCTCCTTGCTTCTCTCACTCTCTTTTCCCCTTACTTCTGCTCTCCTGAGATTGAATTCCCAATAAAATGTTAGCACCTGAGTTTTGCGCTCTATTTTTTAAGAGGACCCATGGGTATCAAGTTCAGGGGACAGTGAGGGATCTGGTATGGTTGGAAAGCAAGGGAGCGATATGATGTGAGGCTGGTAAAGTCAGCTGGTTCTGGGTGAAGCACCCAGGAGTGATTGATGGCCAGGCCAGGAGTCTGCTTCTTCTTGCAGCCACTTGGGCGCCATGAGGAACCTGAGAGCCATCACTGGATAGTTGCCTGTGTTGTCCCTGCCACAAGCTGGCCAGAAGTTTCCCTTACCTCCTCACCTGCCATGAAGTCAAGGGTTTCTGTGGTGTGCAGGTATTGGCAGAGAAGATTCAGTATGTTGCAAGTGAGCCTTCCCTTTGGCCCATCATTGCACTCCTAATAGAATATGTTCTAGGTCTACTGTCACATGCATACAAAGTTGAAGGTATAAGTGACCCAAGCCGGGCCAATTAGACTCCATTCCAGGACCTTTGCTGGAATAAACAAGAAATTAACACCCTCCTTTTTTTTTTTTTTTAAAGATTTTATTTATTTGACAGAGAGAGACAGTGAGAGCAGGAACACAAGCAGGGGGAGTGGGAGAGGAAGAAGCAGGCCTCCCGCCGAGTGAGGAGCGCGATGTGGGACTCGATCCCAGGACTCTGGGATCATGACCTGAGCCGAAGGCAGACGCTTAATGACTGAGCCACCCAGGCGCCCTAACACCCTCCTTTTAGCTTAACTCATAGGTTTAGCTGGTAGGACGTGACCCTGGAATAGATCTTGCCTTCCACGGGGAGAGCCTCTCTGAGAACGAAGCCAGACAGAGTGGTGCAAAGCCAAGAAATAAGGAAAGACAGAGTGGAAGAGAGAGAGAGAGAAAGAGAGAGGGAGAGTTGAAACCATCATAGGAGCACCAGGACTGTGCTGACCTTGTAGTTGAAGCCAGACTCGTGCCATGTGAACTGATAAATTCTCCTTTTCAATGAAGCCAGTTTGCACTAGGTTTCTGTCATTTGCAAATGAAAATGCACCCAGCACTATGATAAACAAGGAGGTTTATGGCAACGTTGTTTTTTTTTTTTTTAAGATTTTATTTATTTATTTATTTGAGAGAGAGAGCACATGAGGGGGGGAGGGTCAGAGGGAGAAGCAGACTCCCCGCTGAGCAGGGAGCCTGACGTGGAACTCGATCCCGGGACTCCAGGATCATGACCCGAGCTGAAGGCAGGCGCCCAACCAACTGAGCCACCCAGGCGCCCGGCAACGTTGTTTTAATAGCAAAAATGTGGCACTATCTAAATACCCGTGGCAGTACCTCCTTACATAAATGGAAGTATTTGTACATAATGGAACACTGCAGCCATCACAAAGGACCTTATCTTTGCCCACATGGAAAGACACCCGTGCTATGTTATTGTGTGAAAAAGGTGAGGTGTAGAATAGTGTACGTGATATTTCCCAATAAGTGTGTGAATTTTCAGGATGGACACACACACTTGCTTGGATTTACATGAAAGTTTCTGGAAGCCACATGCACAAGAGTGCGACAGGGGCTCCCAAGATCAGTTTGTGTTTTTAAAAGACCATTCTGGCTTCGCACAATGTAGACATGCAGCCTGACCAAGTCACACACCCTGAGCCTCGGGTTTCTGCTCTGTTACATGGTAATGGTGCCCTGGCCACGAGCTGTGCAAAGCACTTAGCACAGTGCAGGGCTCCCAATAACAGTCCGATCCATGAAAGCTGCTTTCACTGGGGACCGAGGCTGTCCTGGGGCATTGGGGTGGGCGGATGGCAAGGCTGAGAAGTGGGGCTTATTCACAGGCTTTCTGATTCCTCATTGTATTGAGTGGGGCAGAGGGTGGCTAGGGCCCCCTATGTAGGATGCAGCTCCCTCAGGGCTCCAGTTCTGGGGCAGCTAGGCCTGGGCTGTTGCTATTTTGCAAACGAGGAAACAGGCCAGGAAGGTGAAGTCACTTACTCAGAGTCACTTAGCTGGTGAGTAGCCAAGGCAGGCTTTGAGCCCAAACTACTTACTTCCAGAGCCAACAACCACCGAGCCAGACCCACACCAGCAGCAAGAGGCAGATATCCAGGGATAGGCAGAGAGGCCAAGAGGGAAAGGAGTAAGGGACAGAAGAACCGGGCCCACCCCAGAGCTGCCAGTCCCTTTCCTTCCCAAGGCTTGATGATCTAGCATCCCTGTGTGCCCTGGGCAAAGGGTATCCTTTCAGTCGCTTCTCTCCCCAGCCCTTTCGATTCTGCAGTAAGTCCTGCTCCTGACAACTTGACAGAACGGAAGGCTTCCCAGAGGAGGTATCGGGCGGTGATGCTGAGCTTTGAGGGATGGGCGAGAATTGGCAAGGGCATTCCAGGTGGAGGCACCTCAGATCAAAGGGCTAGAGACTGGAACAGAAGTCCACAGCCAGAGTGGGGATTGAAGGAAGCCTGGCTCAGCGAGGATGAAGGGAGAGGGGGACACTGGGAGATGCTCTTGGGGCCGGTTTCTGGGAGGGCTTGAGCATCAAGCTAAAGAGCAGGTTATTTATCCCGTAGACAATGGCGTGTGACTCACAGGATAAAGGTGCCTCTTCATCATCGAGATGGACTTGGGGAGTGGCGGGGAGGGGGGTCAGGAACTGGGTCAGTGCCTTGGAGGCCCATTGGGCAGGTGTTTGCCTGGCGGCTGGTGGGCAGGATGAGGCAGGTGCAGAAGGTTTTGGCCCTGGCCTGCCCCCCTCTCCGCAAAGGCAGATCCAAGGCCTGATTCTAGCCCAGCTAGCTCCCCCGCCGATGGCTTGTGCCCCTCTCTCCCCCCAGCACAGCTAATCAGCTTAGGATGGCAGCAAATGAAGGCTCCAGAACCGCAGGGCCCTCACTCTGCAGCTACAAATTAACACTTCAATTAAAAGCCAGCCAAGCCAGACCTGACATCCACATTCTCACTGGGTGAGGATTTAATTAAGACATGGTGGGGAGGTGGTGACCTCAGAAGGCCTCACCTTGAGCTGCCCATCCTGGCAACCTATTGTTTCCAGCTCAGACCATGGCATTGAGACCACAGAACACACTAGAAGGGGCAGAGTTTGTCAATAGAATTCCCTTTCATGAGGAGGGAGCTTTGACAAAAATATCGATTCCTGGGCCCCACCCCAGTGCCCCTAAACCGTCTCTCAGGGATGAGCCCAGGGGCCTGTATTTTCATACAGTCTGGGGGCTGCAGGGGGTTCTAGCGTTGTGAGGGTTTGAGAACTCCTGTTCTGGTAGGTGCTAAAAGCAATGTGGTACATCAAAATGATCGGCATTTTAAACCATGGAATGGAATATTAGAATAGGAAATATCAGAGCGCATCGCATAGACGAGGGAAATATTATTTTGTGAAACTTTTGCTTTAGGTATATATCTGTATGTATATTGGATTGTTATGAAAAAGTATGTATATTATATATATATGTATGTATTTTACTATGGGTTTCAGTTAAAAAAAAAAAGTTTGGGAACTACACAGCCACTCCTCAGTAACAAAGAGATGTGCGTGCCCTCTCCAAAGCTCGAGGCACACAGTTCACAGATGGGCCCAGCAGTGAAACCTCACTGTAGCTGCTTCCTCAGGTCTACTGATCCCAAAACATCAGGCCCGCTGGCAGCCTGCCTTCTCCCAGAAGTCGTCAGCAGACCGTTGGGAGGGTGCAGAGGCCCGCTGCCCCTCAGGATAATGGCCCCATTTCTGGCCCAGGACAAGCAGGTATTAGAAAGGGGACCCCCAAAAGAGATCAGAGCTGGGGCTTTTCCTGCCGTCCAGCACAGAGTCCCCAGGCCAGCCTCCCAGCCAGCCTCGAAGCCTCGGGCAGCATGAAGGGGTGAGCAGTCCCATCCACACCTTCCAGAGCTCACTGCCCGCTTGGGAGAAGGAGACGCAGGGGCAGGAAGGAGCCCGAGTCCGTCCCAAGGAGGCAGCCTGGGCTGTGCAGGAGGGTGGGGCTGGCGGGGGGCTGCCTCCCCCAGTGCCACATTCCCCAGCCCTTGCGAGGCCACGCCGGCCCTGCCCTCTCTGCCTTGGAAATCCCTTTGAGCTCAAGAGGGCAGATGGGGGTCAGAGAGTGATGAGAGCCCTGGCCCCAGCCCCGTTTGAAATCGAAGCATCCTGGGCCAGGGGCGAGGCCTGTGAGGTGGGGTCGCCACCCCCAGGGCCGCAGCATCCTCCCGCCTGGGCCAACCCGTTGCTAGGGCCCCTCTTTCGAGGCATCAGGTTATAGGGCCGCGTGGAGCAGCCCATCTGCCGGCTAACTTCTCACTTTCCCCCCTAAGGCTGCCTGTGACCCGGCTCCCCAGGCTCTGGCCCGTGTGTAAAGTGGCGGGGGGCCTTTATTCCCACCGAGCCCCTTCTCAGCAGCTCGGCAGCCAAACTGCTCTTGGATTACATTTTGATGAGTTTTCAATTTAGGCCCAGCAGACAAGGGAAGGGAGGGGATGGGGGTGAAGGGGTGGGGGCGGGCGGGGGCGGGCAGGGGAGCCCGGGGAATAAATGCAACAGATGGGTCCAATTGTGCTGCCTAGGCAAATGAAGGAAGACATCTGTAGCTCCCGAATACTGGTGGTCTGAAACGCAATTAGCCCTCTGTGAATGGGGCCCCTCGCAGCCCCCTCGGCCAATCCCCTCCGAGGCACTGCTCACGTTACAATGGCCTTGACCACAATCCATTGAGCAGAAAAAGGAAAAAAGAAAAGAAAGAAAGAAAGAAAGATTAATCCAGGAGTTGCTGCGCGGTGGGGCTGCAAGGAGAGCTGGTATGCAGGAAAGGTTACTTACGTCTCTGCTTCTCCCTTTTTTTCTTCTGTCTTCACGGAAGGCTGGAAGGTTCCTATTAAAGAGAAGGGGCCAGGGGAGTGTCTTAGTTTGGGGCTTGGTGAGGTGATGTGGACTCACATCTTGACTGGTTGCTAATCTGCAAACCTTAATTTTCTACTCACTTGTTGGGAAAATAATGAAGGGAGACACAGTCCCTGTGCTTGCAAGCGCCCCCCTTCCCCCCACCCCGCCAACCCCCCGGGTGAGCAAGTTGTTATGTGATAAGACCCCTTCTGCACGTGGTAATTATAATGGCTGTGGGGAGGTTCAGGGAGTTACCTTTCGCAGCTGGAAACGTGCGTTCTGCTTGACTCCTCAGAGGACCTGCCTCTTCCCCACGATCATCGAGCCCAGCTGGAGACCTGGGAAGGGACTGGAGTCTCCTTTATCTATGCATATTTATGATCCGTGGTACCTGGCAGGAAAGGGGGGAGAGCCCAGTACAACAGTGCACGCTGCCCCTGGGAGGGTGGAAGGGGGTCAGGGCACCTTTAAGTTACCCTCCTGACTTTTGTTCCCCTCAGCTCTTTGGTGTCTGATCTGGGAGGTGGCAGCTCCCCGCAAGGTGGTGAAAGAAAGCCAATAAATTCTGGAGAAACCTGTTCTTGGGTTTCTGCTGCCTGTGTCTGATCAGAGCCATCGAACAGCCCAGAAAGCTTCTGAGCCTGGGTCATAGGGACCCCTCTAGGACGTGCACTCAGAAGCTCAGTCCCACCTTTACCAAGAACCTATACAGACTGAGAGCCGAGGGGACATGCTCCTGTTGTTCATTTTATTGTGGTAAAATACACATAACATACAATTTACCATTTTTAAGCATACAGTGGTGTTAAGTACATTCACAGTGTTGTGTCGCCATCACCACCATCCAAAACGTTCTCATCATCCCCAAATGAAGCTCTGTTCACATTAAACAATAACTCCCAATGTCCCCTGCCCCCAGCCCCTGGCAACCAACCATTCTACTTTCTGTCTCTCTGAATTTGCCTTTCCCGGGTACCGCATATAAATGAAATCCTAAGTGTATGTCCTTTTTGACTGGCTTATTTCATTTAACATAATGTCTTCAAGGTTCATCCCTATTGTAGTATGTGTGAGAACTTCCTTCCTTTTTTAAGGCTGGATAATATTTCATCGTCTGTATAGACCACATTTTGTTTATCCATTCATCCGTCAACGGACACTTAGGTTGCTTCCACTGTAGGCAACTATGAATAATGCTGCTATGCACGGGGGTACAAATATCTGCTTGAGTCCCTGCCTTCAATTTTTTTGGAAGTGGAAATCTGGATCATATGGTAATTCTGTGCTTAATTTTGTTTTATTTTTATGTTGTTTGTTTGTTTTGTCCTTTTTACTCCAAGTCTGGAAGCTTCAGTTCCCAGGAAGATGCAGTTTAAAGACCATATTGATGATGATTTCTAACAGCTTCAGGCAACTGATGCTTGGATTCATGCTGAATTCAGGCTGCAGGTGCTTTCATTTGCCCTGAGTTAGAATTGTGTGCGATACAAGCCTGGGGGTGAGCTGGCTGTTGGAGCTGGTCTGGGGCTCCCGTTGCATTTGGCTTGGGTCTCCATCAAGGCCTGCTCCCCCAGACCCCCCATCAAGGTCTCCTACCCCTCTCTTGCCAGGTCAGCCTGAAGGTGTGATAGTGATCCTGCTGTTGGGAGGCTTTTGCTGTGCTTATAATTATTCTCATGTGTGTGCAGACAAAGTAGTGGATGCTGGCACTTAATTTTTACAAGCTTCACTAACCAAGGGCGCTAAGATTCAGGGATTTCCTAGTCAGCCATCACCTGATGCTATCTGGTTAATCGAGGAAGCCAGAACTGAAATGCATTATCTGTGCTTATGTGACTATCTTCCTGAGAACTCCCAATATTTCTCCCATGGGCATACATGTCTTCCCCTTTCCCAAATCCCTGTAGTGGGCATAGGAATGGTTTGAAAAAGTTGGTGACCACTCATCCCTTTTGCATTGTCCAGAAATCCCAGTGTTTCATCATCCAGACTCTCTCTCCTGTCTTGGAAATGGGCAAAATCACCCATCTATGCATCTCTTCCTAACAGAGGTCTGACTACGTATTTACAAGCCCCTGTCTGAGGGTCCACCATCTAATCAGCCTGCACCCATGGGCAGACTGTGGTTCTCCCCTTTGGGACACTTATTGGTCTTGGCACACCCTCAACTACTGGGATCCCCTAAGAACAAAGTAGGCTGCTTGCATAATTACAAAGAGTCCATATAGTCAAAACAAAAGAAAAAGAAGAACAAAGCTGGAGGCATCAATGTTCTGATGTCAAACTATATTACAAATCTATAGTGATCAAAACAGTATAGTACTGGCATAAAAACAAACACATAGATGAATAGAACCAAAAATAAAGCCCAGAAATCAACCCATGCATATGTGGTCAATTAATTTTCGACAAAGGAACCAAGAAAATACAATGGAGAAAGGTTAGTCTCTTCAATAAGCGGTATTGGGAAAACCGGACAGCCACATACAAAAGAATTAAACTTGGACTGCTATCCTACACCATATACAAAACCTCAAAATGGATTAAACATTTTGGTCTTGAATAAATGACCTTGAACATAAGACCTGAAACCATAAAACTCCTAGAAGAAAATGTAGGGAGCAAGCTCCTTGATATCAGTCCTGTCTATGATTTTTTTGGATTTGACACCAAGAGCAAAGACAACAAAAGCAAAAATAAAACAACTTTTATGGGACTATATCCCACTAAAAAGCTTCTGCACAGCAAAGAGAAGTCATCAGCAAATGAAAAGGCAACCTGTGGAATGAGAGAAAATATTTGCAAACCACCAATCTGATAAGGAGTTAATATCCAAAACATACAAGGTACTCACATGACTCAATAGCAAAAAGCCAACAGGCAAAGGACCCAACTAGATATTTTTCCAAAGAAGACATACACATGGCCAACAGGTGCATGAGAAGATTGTCAATGTCGCTAATCAGGGAAATGCAAATCAAAACCACAATGAGATGTCACTTCGTATCTGTTAGGATGTGTAGTATCAAAAAGACAAGAGATAAAATGCTGGAAAGAATGTGGAGAAAGAGGAACCCTTGTGCACTGTTGATAGGGATGTCCATTGGTGCAGCCACTGTGAAAAATAGTGTGGCGGTTCCTCAAGAAATTAAAAATAGAACGACCCTATGATCCCGCAATCCCACTTCCACGTATATAGGCAAAGGAGAATAAGTCACTTTCTCGAAGAGATATCTATACCCCCATGTTCACTGTAACATTATTTGCAATAGCCAAGGTAAGAAAATAAGTGTCCTTCAACAAATGAATGAATAAAGAAAATGTGATACACACACACACACACACACACAGGAATATTATTCAGCCTCAAAAAAGAAGGGAATCTTGCCATTTATGACAACATGGATGAGCCCAGAGGGCATTATGCCAAGTGAAATAAGCTGGTTGGAGAAAGACAAATACTGCATGGTATCACTTACCTGTGAAATCTAAAAAAAAAAAAGAAAAGAAAAGAAAAAAGAAAGTTGAACTCACAGAAACAGAGTAGAATGGTGCCTGCCAAGGGCTGAGGTGTGGGAGAAATAAAAGAAGCTGTTAACAGGGTATAAGTCTTCAGTCATAAGGTGAATAATGTCTAGGGATCTAAATATACCATTTTACACTAGAGTTGATAAAACCATATTATGTAATTGAAATTTACCAAGAGAGTAGAACTTAATCGTTCTTACCAAAAAGAATACAAAGGGGGAAAAAAAGTAAATATGTGAAGGGACGACTGTATTAATAAACTTGGTGGTGGGAAGTCTTTCACAATGTATATGTATATCTAATCATCACTTTGTACACTTCAAATATGTTATGATTTGATTTGTCAATTATACCTCAATAAAGCTGAAACTTTAAATAAATGAATGAAATCATAATCTCATTTCATGTTAACAGGCATATCTGTTATGCCATTTTAATGAGAAAGAGCTTTTGTTTCTGAAACAATAGTGAGAAGGGTCACATGCTTTATGAGTGTGCAAATCTCTTTAATATCTGGCTTAATAGAAGAAACTAGCTTCACATATCTGCTTCTGCATTCAAGTTGGTCTGATATGTTTTTGAACTATGTGAAAATGCAATCTCACATAAATATATAGCTTGAAAACAAAGACTTTGTGGACTCCATGTGAGGCTCTCAGGGACACTCACCGCCCCCCCCGCGGGGTTCTTTGAATATACTTTGGGAACCACTGGGCTAGAGATGCCCTTTACCATAACTACTCCAGTGTGTGTTTCCTAAGAAAAGAACATTTAAAAACATAATCTCATGGCTCAGTCATGATCCCAGGGTCCGGGGATCAGGCCCCACGTTGGGCTCCCTGCTCAGCAGGGAGCCTGCTTCTCCCTCTCACTCCCCCTGCTCGTGCTCAATCTCTCTCTCTCTGTCAAATAAATGGATAAAATCTTAAAAAAAAAAATTCTTCTGGCAGATTCTTCTTATTAAAAAAAAAATCTCAGGATAATTATCAAAATTGGGAAATTTAATATTGACATATGCTAATACCTAACGTCCAATCTGTATTCAGAGTCCTCAAACTGTCCCAGTAATGTCCTATTATTCCTGCCCCCGATCTAGAATCTTTTGGTTGTCATGTCTCCTTAATCTCTCTTAATCCAGGTGGGGTTTTCAGCCTTTATTTTTCATGACCTTGATATTTTGGAGGAGTATAGGCCAATTATTTTGTATAATGTCCCTCATTTAGACGTTTCTGATGTTTCCTCACCATCAGATTCAGGTTTTACATTTTGACAGGAATACCACAGAAGTGATGTGTGAGACTTCTCAATGCATCAGGTAAGGAGGCACTTGATACTGAGTTGTCCCAACGGTGGTGATGTTAACTTTAAGCGTTTGGTTAAGGTGATATCTTCCAGGACTCTCCACTGTATAGTTACTATTTTTATAATTAGTAAGTAATTTGTGGGAAGATTCCTTGAGACTCTAAATATTCTTATTTGCATCAAACTTTTGCAGACAGTTTTAGCATCCATTATTGATTTTTGCCTGTATCAATTATTAATGTTTTCTTTTTTTTTAAGGTTTTATTTATTTATTGAAGACAGAGAGCACAAGCAGGGGGAGCCATGGAGGAGGGGAGAAGCAGAATCCCCGTGGAGCAGGGAGCCCAATGTGGGGCTCGATCCCAGGACCGGAGATCATGACCTGAGCTGAAGGCAGACGCTTAACTGACTGAGCCACCCAGGTGCCCCTACTTAATGTTTTCTCACTCCACCATTCCTTCTCTATTCATTAATTGGCATTGTACTGTAAGGAAATGTTTCTCTTTCCCCCCATTTATTCATTCACCTATTGATTCATTCATTCAATGCATCCATTTATAC